AGAAAAAGAAAAAAAAAAAGAAGAAGAAAAAGAAGAAAAAGAAGAAGAAGAAGAAGAAGAAGAAGAAGAAGAAGAAGAAGAAGAAGAAGAAGAAGAAGAAGAAGAATTTTTCCCTTGAGGGTATAAAGACTTCCCCACAACTCTTGGAAAGTAGGACATATTTGTTTTTTGTGTATGAAAGGAAGATCACCGCCTAGAAGTGCTTGCCTTGAAATATCAACGATCCAATTTCCCTCAGAAATATTTCTAGTGTTACAAAATTAGACTGCTTCATTATACAATGAAAATCCTTGATGGCTGCCGCTTTGTTGGAAAATGTTGTTATTTTGAATGGCCTGTCATTTTTCTGTTTACACAAGCATTTGTTTCGATGTTACTTCCTCGCATGCTCCTAATATCTTGATGTACTAAACACAATACACGTCTAGGGTTTTCATTCGAATGCATTCCAGCGGCTCATTCAACACAGTAAAGGCCTTTCCCACGGCTGAGTGGAAACGCTCTCCACCCATCCTTCAGTTGATAGAAAATTATACTGGCATGAAATTTTCTATACCCACTGCCAATCCCTATCCTGCCTCTATTGCTTCTGTTTCAAGTCAGTACCAGTCGCCTGGCTTCCCTTCAAGATAACTGGGGGTAAAACTGAGCAGGATTTATACACTTTGAGGCAGTGGTTGGAATAAGGAGAAAATTCTGCTTTCATTGGTATAGCCAAAGTTGTTTCACTCACGGACGAGACGCAAGATTGTGGGGACGTAGCAGAAAAAGAGGCTGCCAGGGTACGTTTGCTGTGACTAGGCACAGGTGGGGAAAGATAGTCTAACTCAGGTTAACGTGCACCACGTTTAGCATGTTTTGTGAATGAATCTTTAAATTACTTCTTTAATGTATTGCATAAACACTGATGTGTCTTTTAGGCTAATGTTTCTCAACCTCGGCAACTTTAAGATGTGTAGACTTTAACTCCCAGAATTCCCCAGCCCCCACACCCCCGCGGGGGGATTTTGTGGGGGTAATCCCCACCCTCTTAAATATTCTCACGTGGTAAAAAAAA